TCTTGCAAATGCTGGACTTAAGTCCATGTAGTGAGATTCAAGAATTGCCGGAGCTTCCCTCTAGTTTGACCGATCTATTGCTGGAATCCCGTTCTCTGCGATTTGTCCCTGATCTCTCAAACCTTACTAACTTAGTTAAATTGGTCCTCTCTGATGGATCTCTGGTTAGAGGCACAACAAGCTTAAGACAAGCTTGCGACATGCGATGGTTACGGAGTTTATCCAAATTGAATGAATTGAACCTATGCCTGTTAAATATCCCCGTGCCGCCTACAGGACTGGGCTTCTTTTCTTTTCTGGAAAAGCTTACTTTGTGTGGACTAGACCTGCAATCCCTCGCAGAGCTTCCATCGTCTCTGTTGTACTTACGAGTCCATAATTTCAACTCAGCAGGGTTACCCATGTCCAACTTGAGAAACTTGTCAACTTTCAGACTCTCACGATCAGAGCTCAAGGAAATTCAGCTCCATAGGCTTCATCAATTGTCAAGTTTGAGTGTCTCGGACTGTGAACTCCTGGAGAGGTTATCCTTTCCGTCAAACATAAATGAAATTTCTGTTATTGGTTGCCCAAAGCTAGTTGAGATTCATTATCCAGGTGTTTTGGAATCGCTTGAGAGATTGGGTATTGAGAGGTGCGAATCTTTTGAAAGGTTAAGTTGTCTGCTGGAGCAAGGATGTGATGAGCTGACATTTTGTGGGGGGAGACTGTCACTTCTATCAAGCACCTTTAAGAAGCTCAAAGAATTCAGTGTTGTAGAGTGCCCAAAGCTAGTTGAGATACAAATTGTGGGAATTCTGGAATTGTTGGAGATATTTTCAGTGGATGGGTGTCTGGCTATGGAAAGATTGGGTGGTTTGTCAAACTTGAAGAACCTCAAATCGTTGAGTATGAGAGAGTGCGGTGCTCTTCAAGATGTTGAGGGCCTCGATCAATTGGAGTGCTTGTGTCGATTGCTTGTTGATGATAATGGATCATTGGAAAGGTGGATTGATGTATCGAGTGCGAAAATACCAGATGAGTGCGAGATGTTAATTTGGGATTGCAGGGGTTCATTAAGTGAGTTATGTCCACGTAAAATTGAGTGCGTCTCCTTCAATTGCTACAGAGAGATGATTCTTCTTGGACCAAACCAGGTGCACCTTCTCTTCCTGGCTTATGTTTCTTCATTGCAAGTGCAACTCGCCCTTTCCCCTCTGCCTGTTCATTTCTTCCATTTATTGTATTTATTTTCTGTAGAGTATTTTCCTCTGGTAGCACTTAGAGAGTATTTTGTGTTCTGATGTCAATTGTTCATTATGGTATTTTACTTTAACTGTGACGTTTATTGGGTGTTTAACTGATACCATTTCTCGTATGCTGTGGTGGTGTAATTGAAGAATAATTGTAATAGGAAAATCAACTCACACTTGTACAATATTGTGGTGCATGTAATATAAAATATTTCATCTCACACACTGTTTGTAAGACATTACCCTTTTTGGGACGACATAATGACGTTACTTTTTTTTTTGTTCAGACAGTGACATTACTTTAACATGACAATCTATTCACTCTTACCACACACAAAATACTTATCTGTTTCATTAATGAGCATATTTTGTGTACTACATAATTCATAGCATGTCTCGGTGATATTTAATGAGCCATACAAATCCATCTGTAAAGAAACTGTTCTCAATAAAAATTGAAGTATGAAGAAACTTCATTTCGCAATGCATTTTATTAGACAAAGACTCCATTTTTTCCTATTTTCGGATGGTAGATATTTCTTAGAACATGTGATATTATGTCTTGATCATCTCAGAAAATTAAATTTATTTTTTTAAATTGGACTTATTGATTCGAAGCAAGGTTAGCTAATCGATCTGCGGATAGATTGCTTTTGCATCTGCCCTCCTTCTGACTTGCTTCTTGTTTGAAGGAAGGTCTAGTAGGCTTGTTGAATCAACTTTGCAGTCTGTTGTTATAACCATATTAAAAAATTAAAATAGCAAAACCAATGATTCTGCTCATACAGAGGAAGAAGTAACTTAGAGCTAGCATAAATCCAGGGCAATCACCAGCGTCATTACAGGGAAACTGCCCCACAAGTTTAACCCACAGCCCAAGGTGAAACTCTGACCATCCAAATTGGATTAGAGAGGGAGAGTCTCCAGTTGACGAGTTATTCTGCCACTCATTTGTCTGTAACCTCATTTGCATACTGCTGAATTTTAGAGACATCTTGAGGAAGGTAGAATCCTTTTGAAACAACAGCTTATTCCTCCAATCGAATAAGTGCTTGCAGACCAATCTGAACAGAAAGTCCCATTCAGAGTTGATAATGTTTTTGCCATATCCTCTTCTGGGTTTAGTTAAAACCACTTGTTAGTGTTTGAAGCAAAGAAGTGCTGATAGACTAACTTGACACAGGCTTCTCACTAGAGGACAATTCCTCAAGCAGTGAATTAAGGATTCAAGCTTGTTTTTGTAGAACTGACAATCTGAGGATGCTGAGAGTTTCTCACAAATTGTGCTTCATTTGTTCAAAGCTTTTTACGTGCAACCAGCCCCAAGATATTTCTGACAATCTAAGGACCTGGCCTTTGAAAGCAGGCATCTATTGGATGCCTTCTTTAAGGGTTCAAGTTTATGGACCCAAAGAAAGCAAATGTTTAGCTCTAAGAATATCTTAAAAGCATTTCTATGCTACATTAGTGTGAAGTGTCTTTCAGAGGAATTTAACTTCGAAGCGGTTACCGAAATGAATTCTAACAACTTGGATTACCTGGGTTGTGAATGCGAAAATTCTCCAATGTTGCCTATGCTTAGTTTCATGCAAAAAGTTCACGACCCCATTTTTGCTTTATTTATTACGGTAAAACCTTGGGACTGTTTATTTATTATAATTTTTTTGTTGCAGCATCCATGGTATAGATTCATATGCTGTCTCATATAGCTCAAGGAGATATCGTTATTGCTCTTAGGAGGATGAGGAGTCATTTCACTGATTCCATACTCTATTGGTTTAAGTATCTATTCCTTTTTATTATTAGTGTAGTTGGTGCTGTAGTGTAGCCCTTCATAAGGAGTCCTTGGAAGCTTCAATTTTGTTCTGCTTCTGTTTTCAAATTGCTCTAATATGTGTCCGAAATACTGAAATTGTATGTTCACCAATATATTGAAAGAATACTTTGGTAAATGACTTTGCATACTCTATAGGTGCATTTTGCCATTACGGATATGAAAGTTCGTTCCACTGGTCATGTTTCTGTTCACAGCTTTTGTTTTCTGAATCTCATAACCAAGTTTCGTGACTTCTTTTTCTGAGTCGATTTTTCCTTCATCAATTGTCAAGCGTTTGAAAGTAATAACATTAGAGTCGCTCAGCTTCTGGGCTTATTATAATTAGATTCAAGTTTCAACATGCTAGAGATACTTATGTCTGTTGCCATGTCTAATTCATTGTTAAATTATTTGATCCCAAGTCTATTGACTAGAAGGAAGAAAGCTAGGTACATACTGTACCTGTAAGGCCAATGCTTTGCACTCTCAATGAAATTAATGACTAGTTACTGAGTGTTGATTTCTTATGGGGGGTTAAGAAAAGCAAGTTTCTCTTAGGTATTACAAGCACAAGACTGATGGCACATGACATATGTAGAAGCGCAATAGGTAAGCAGATGAGGGGCGTCTTCAGTTTTATCAGTCTGTTTGCTTTCTCTTGAAATCTGATCTGCTACATATTTGACCAAGGTAGATTTGTTGCCTTTCATTTCATCATGGATACTCGTGTATTGTGGAAGCTGCAGTTATCAACTAAAGAATCTGTCAAGTACTTAATATCTCTGTAGGAATGTAGTTTTAACTTTTAGTCAAATGGGGGTTCCAAACTCAGATTCACACGGAGATTCTGTCGATGAATGTTCGGTCTCAGCTGTTCAACATCTTGTGATGGGAGATCACAAGGGGAGCTTATATTTGAGCTCTTGAAATGCTTAGGTGGGCTGACTTTCACTCAATGACTCCAACTCGTTGAGCTACGAGCCAACCAAATGTGTCAATCGGCCCAATTTATATCAAACGTCAAATTATTCATTACATTCACACCTCAACCATCTTGAAAGAGTGCATAATAGCTCATTGATCGAGTGCTCTTACATGTGTAGGAACGAAAACCCACCTACAGAACCCAACATGAGTTTCGCCTTTAGTTTCCTAAATCATAAATTTCTCAAGAACATGAACCTCCCATTGTAATTCAATTTTGGATGCTATAGAAGAGACTTTCACCTCCTATCCTAGTCGACCGGGAAAAAATGATTGCAGACTCAATTCTTGCATTTTTGATAGATCTAAAATGACGAATGTAGTGGGCATCATGCTGAATCTATAATATATAGATGAGCAGATTCAACGATACAAATATGTCTTATGACAACTAAATTTTTTCTTCGATGTCAAACTCCCAGCCAAAAGTATTTCTTTCTCATCCTTTGCCAGAAGGAGAATTTAGTCCGTTCTTGCTAGATCATAATACTCAAGTTATGTTATAGGTTCTCCTCATGTGAAGAAACTCATAGAAATTGACGACAACGGAGGCAAAAAGACAAGGCCGCATGTGAAGAAAGCGAAGACCGAGAGGCAGGCCCTATCGTCTCCCCATTGGATTCTTGGAAAGCACCAATTACCTTTAAAGTTTATCGTTCTTCCAAGGACTCATCATAATTTCCAAAGACCGACCCACTTTATTTAAAGCCATCGATCCGATGTACAAACGACTTTTCATGAACAAGAGCAGTCTTAAAATATTGAATACTGCTGAAAACAGCAATATTGTAATCTTGATTAAGCAAACCAAAGAAGTTTGTCTGCATTAGTGCTTCAACTATTATGATGGTGACTTTCACTTGGCTGTATAGATTGAGAATCTCTATCTCTAAAGCTTAGGTATACACACCCCTATAATTTTTCTGTAAGGACATCTGAGAGAGAGATATCTGGTAAAACAAGCTCCCATGGCGAACCTAGAAGCCGGCAGGAGCAGCGGTGGTGCACCGAGAGGTGAGTATAAAGTGTTCCTGAGTTTTAGAGGAACCGACACTCCTTATGGAATCATAGACTGCATCTATCACGCCTTGGTAGATGCAGATATTCGCGTCTTCAGGAACAAAGATGAACTCCGTATAGGGGAAGTGATTAACAGAGAGCTGCTTCAAGCTGTTGACAACTCCGTACTCTACACACCTATCTTTTCTGGAAATTATGTTATCAGTAATTGGTGCCTCCGCGAGCTCGCTAGGATATGGTTGTATAGTGATGCCCTCTTGGAGCACGAGAAGAAATTCCATGAAGAAGTGAAGGCGTGGCAAAAGGATATTGCTTGGTCTTGTGCTGCAATTATGTGATTTTCTGTGGAAAAATGATTGCAAGACTGATATATTAATTTATCTAAACATATCATATAACAAATCCAGAAAGTTGCAGGAAAAACGAAAAAAACATTGCATCTGGCTTGAACTCTAATCAGATTATTTGCATATAGTTAGATTCCATCCTAAAATTTAATTATCGTTTTTTTGTCATTAATTAAATAGAAGGGCTTTCCTTTTGACAACCAGGGATAACTTATCAATTTGGTTGTTGGTGAGGTTTTGGATAAGTTGAAGATAAAGCAGAAACCTATGACTGAGCATTTAGTTGGACTGGCCAGTCTGGTAGAAGAAGTCATGAAATAGGACGATAAACGTTTACTTATGATTAATTTCCAGTCTGGTAGAAGAAGTCATGAAATAGGATAATTTCCAAAGACCGACCCCCAGTCTGGTAGAAGAAGTCATGAAATAGGACGATAAACGTTTTCTTGGTGATGTGCAGCTCATCAGAATTCATGGAATAGGAAAAACTGCAGCAGCCAAGGTCGTCTTCAACCAACCATGTTCACACTTTGGAAAGCGATGCAGCTTCCCTGAAGACATTCGAAAAGAGTTAACGAAGGATGGCTTAGTCAAGTTGCAAGAGAAATTGTTGTTGGACATAGCTAATTCTAGAGCAATAGGAAGAATTCTTGATGCTGATTATGCCATGAGGATGACCAAAGAAATAGCTTACAAATACATACACCTATTAGGATGTCCATGATAAGGATATTAGACAACAATAAATTTTGGATGCATGACCAACTAAGATATCTTTGGAAGGGAAAGTACTCATATAGAAAGTCTAACAAACCCTGGAGAGCATAATAGGTTATGGATAAGCGAACAGATCCTCGAAATATTAAGAACAAAAGAGGTAAAGAAAGAACAAAAACTAGTTTCCAAGTAGAAAATTAGACGTTCCTGTACTGAGAATTGCCTTTTCTACCAAGAAACATTTCTTTATATGTGATAAAGTAAACAGAGTTGATGATTAATGAACGTTTACTTACAATTAGTTGGCAGAGTGACAAGGTTCAAGCATTTGATCTAGATGGAAAATATGCTCCCATCTTGATCACAAATGAATAGCTTGAAAGGTTTGGAAGTTTAAGGTTCCTAAAGTTATCAACTTTGTCGGAGACTTCCCAGTTCCAAAATAAGATGGATTACTTGGCATTCTCCTCAAATTTTTGAGGCGGTTGATATGTATTCTATGACATCCTTAAATTTCGATCCTATTCGGGATATAATGAAGTGATTATTTATCGATGCACTGTTAGTTAACTCTCGCTCTAAATTGATCGCTCATGAAAGACTAATCATTAGGGAAAGGCTATTAAGGAATTAAGTATACGCGACCAGAGAATTCGACCATGGATTGACAATTCGACCATAAGGATTGACGAGGAACAATTTTGAGCCATTATAGACCGATCAAGGAATGGTTATAGAATGTTTCGCCAATAGTATATAATCAGAGCGCGGGTGATTTCGCTTGACCATTGTATGAATTGCGAACAACCTTAAACCAATTCCTAATGATCGTGTACTTTGAAACTAGCGATTGACCCCTCACAATTACATGACAATCGAGATCATCCATGGTTCGAGAAAACTTAAACGTGAATTGTTATTAAGTCAACCATGAGTTGAATATGCATAACTCCTAAAAGCCGCCCGTTAGTTTGAGATATACTAAAGTCGCAATCGATCGATTTTGACCATGAATTAGAGTTCGAAATTAAGTATTGATCTTTCAAGGATTTCAAGACTAAACTATTGGACGTCGACTCGTTAATTCTCCGATTTATCGATTTGCTTGGAATTCTCGGAAAAGGATTAACGGGCCAAGAATTTGGAGCCCACAAGGAAGTGGGCCGGACAAAGGCACATTGGGCCTCAAGCCCAATGTGGTTCGACCCAATGAAGCCCACTAAGCCCATTTTCTATTTTCAAGCCCAAGTTTGAGCCCGATAGTATTTTCAAGCTCATTCCTTATCCGTTTGAGCCCAAACTTGATTCATACGAGCCCGTACAAAATTCTAGCTCGTATACGCATTTAGTATTTTATACTTTGTAAAATTACCAAAATGCCCTTCTAGCATTTATGGTCTTGAAACAAAAGTGTTTGATGCATGAAGACTTTGGGGGCAATTTTCATGATGAGCTTGGACTTGAATTAGGCTTGAAGAACAAGTCTTGCATGAAAATATCTCATTTCTCTCACTTTTCTCTCTCCTCCTCACCAACCGGCCACATACTCCCCTTCTTCCTCCTTCACGCCCAAACCAGCAGAACAGCCTTTGGGCTGCTGTTCTTGCTGCCATGCACCACCACAGAACAGCCAGCAGCTTGCCGTGACCGCCCGGAGCCGTACGCCGCCCGTCCAAGCCGTTTCCACCGCCGGATCGCCTCACCGTGAGCTAAACTAGCCGCCCACAGCTGCTGTTCAGCCGAGACCCATCCACCGTCGTCGTTCCGTGTCATATTCAGACCGTGTCACTCGTAGCCCTCGCCGTTGCCGTCGCGTCCATGTAGTCGGAATCGTTTCCGGGTGAGTTATCGCCCTAATCCCTTGATTAGTATGTTAAACTTGATTAGGATGAGTTATTTTAAGTTAATTATGTTTAGTACTAATTAATTAAGGATTATTTGATAAGCTATTGTGATAAGTGATAAGTGGACTCGATAAGTTATCGAGAAAACGCGATAGGCTATCGAGGTTTTATTGAGAAGCTATCATCAATTATGCGATAAGCTATCGAGGATTTGACGATAAGCTATAGGATTATTTTTATAATAAATGTTTAATTATTAATTAAATGAATTTTCGGAATTAAAATATTAATATTTTATTATTTTTCGGAAATTAAAATATTAATATTTTTGTGGAAATTCCGAACTTAATTTGTGGTTATTTTAGGCTTAAATTGTGATGCCTAAGTTGGAATTTTGCCTTATATATTGGTTGTATGTTGAATTGAATTGACTGATTATTATTAATTATAGAATTGTGGGAATTTAATTAATAAACCCTGAGGTGTCGGGTTTATTTGTTAAGTTTTATGTGAGAAATATGTTGTGGATACTTAAATATAGAAGCATGCCGAGTTTGAGAATTTATTGATATGTGTATAATCACGTGTGGTTATTTTAATACATTTTTACTGTAACATTTTATTGTATTAGCACGGATCATGTCTGTATTGGCTTTTGAAAAAGATAATGATAGAACTTGAGTGGTTGCTATGTGTGCATGATCACCTAAAGGGTCCTTTGTACCCGGTTCTACTGGATGACCGCCAACCTAGGGTTTGACTGTGGCCCTAACGGATGTCCTCAATTTGGTAATTGGAAAGCCGTCGCTGGTAGCAGGGGAGACGTAGTCATTCGCGAATCGGATTCAGAATGAACCCGTTTATGGGATATGCCGTTATTGTGGTCGGATGAGACGATGACGTGCCCGACGGGGAGGGACGATACTCGGTTATGCCGGAAGACCGCCAACTTGATGTGAATAATGCGGGTTGTGCCGTGCCCTGTGTGGCTGTAGTAATCGGAATACGCATGAAAGATTGTGGTGGCATTGCGCTTGATTATGGGATGAAATTGTGAGGCATGGTATGGGACGGGCCGAAGCGGTTTCACCTTATAATCGGGACATGTGTTGATGCATTGTGTATGGAAAAGTTATTGCGTATTCTGATTACATTATATGCTTGTTGCATTATGATTGTATATGATGATTTATAAAGCGCAAGGCGTGAGTGCCAAGGCAAGGTAAGAATGTCTGTAATTGTTTGATGGCACGTATGTTTATGCTGGGTTGAGTAGCCTGTATAGTTAAGGCAAAACAAGGGTAGCTTTGCTATTGATCTGCCGTTGATGTATTGCTACATGTTTTAGGTGCATCCAAGATGGGTTGACCTCCTACTCGGGGCTTAGGTCGTTAACTCGCTGAGATTTATCTCACTCGTTGTTGTTATCCATTTTTCATGTGCTCAGGTATAAGTACGCGTCGTGTTCTATTGGAACAGGCTGTTTTGAGGAGGAACACTTGTTGAGATTGTTCTCGTAGATAGAGGAGCAAGGTTAACCCCCTGCCTTTTGTGGTTGTAATCAGGAAGATCCGTGTAGCGGACTCGTAATATATTAACCCGATGTATTGCTGATGATGTTGTTAAATTGAGATGTGTTTTCCTTACTATCCCGTTTATTGATTGTTGTTGGGTGAATTAAGTTCACTTCCGCATGCGTTTAATCGTACGTAAGTCAATTCGATTGGGTTGGCGACGCGTCCTGGGACGTTGCCATTTCACGACCAATGGCGGGATGTTAGCGTGCTCGCGGTTCGGGGCGTGACATATTCAACCAGTGTAGTTGTTCTTGAACTTTCTGACAATCACTTCACAGATCATTCGGAGGTGTGAAGCTTAATCAAGGTATCTTAACTTATGTGTTCATTACGTCTACTCTTATTTTCTTCTTGTATTTATGTTTGATAGTTTTGCACTTGAAACATAATACCGTCTGTAGATGGCAACCAGATTAAAGGTTCTAGCTCTCAAAAAAAAAAATTTCGGCATTTCCAGAACTGCAGACTTCTCTAAGTGCTTGACGATAGAGAGGTTGACTCTTGAAAGATGTGCAATTTGACGGAAATTGACTGTTCAATTGGAAGACAGAAGTGCCTGATTGACTTGAATATAAACAACTGCTTGCGTCTTGAAGAATTGCCGCAAGAAATTGGAGGGCTAGTGAAACTGAAGCACTTCTCTTCGACAGATTGCTTTAGGATGAGCAAACTTCCGGATCAATTGAGAAATTAGCATCCTTGACGGAGTTGTATCCATCAAACATGAAAATTACAAGCTTACTTGATTCAATTTGCAGACTAAAATATTTTTCAACTCTCCATGTATCAAGAATGTCAATCAACGAACTTCCAGAAGTCCAGACTCTATGGAAGGCTGGCAGCGCTAGTGAAGCTCGACTCTTTCTCTCTGATTAGCACTAGGATTAGTGAGTTTCCTATCTCCATCGGAAAGCTGAAATCTCTGCGTGTGTTGGATTTTTCGTGTAAGATGATACCTATATCAACTGGGAAAGGTTGGAAATTACCGAGTGCTATTGGAATGTTGGAGAATCTTGAAAAGATAAATGCAGAGCGCTGCAAAGAGTTGGAAGGCGAAATTCTAATGAAGTTGGAAATTTGCTCCTGTTCAGAATCCTAAATTTGTCAGGTACACAAATGGATACCGTCCCTAGCGTAATCAGCAATCTTCCTCGCTTCCAAAGCTAGACTTAAGTAGAGTTGTCAAGGGACTTAACCAACCAGAGATTTTGGATGAATTGCGTATTTATGGGTGTAATTCGCTGGAAAGGCCGATAGATGTGTGCACCACAAAAATTCTTGATGAGTGCCAAATATATTTTAGTAACCGCGGGGAGTGTTGGAGTAACATAAAATTGATTATTGGTGTGATTGAGCACGTCGGTTGCTGGAAGCTACAAGCGTTAAAGAAGAGTCATAAAGACTTCAACGTGGCTTCGTTTTTCTTCAACAGATTAAGCTGTTTTATTGTCTTTCTTAATGATTGTGGATTGTTATGTTTTCTTTATTAAATGTAATCATTGGAGTTTGTGAACTTCAATTCCTATATAAAGAGATGAAGTCGTGAGTTGTAAATCAAGCCAAACACGAAGCCACAAAGACAAAGC